CTTACTTGATACTTTCAACTACAGAACACTATTCACCAAGTTTCATATCCTCTAAGTTTCATGGAAAAGATGAATACCTGGCAGTGAAATTTATGTTTATATAAGGTTTTACAAAGTGGGGGAAAGAGACTAAAAAATAAAAAGGACACCAAATTGTAACAAAGTCACCATATTTACTGATGTTTTTATTTATTTATTATTTATTATATACTTATTAGCTCATATCTTTTTTCCGCTGTCCAAAATTATTCTTAACTCACAAGAGTTTGCTGTCAATACCCCTCAAACATCAGTAAAAGAGATTAAAGCCATTACTACAGTTGATAGAGTCACTTCACCCCAGAGAAGTATCCCTTCATCAAAAGGAGACATGGCTGCCACCATCCTGTCTTAATCCTTCAGCTCTCCCAGTTAGGACTAGGGAAAATTGCTAGTTGCCTCTCATCTGCTCCTGCCCAGCAGGATGACAAATGAAACATGAAATGGCATGCAGAACTTCCTTTAATCAAAAGTGTAAGGACCTTGTGTTTATTCTTATTATATTGGCCCACCAAATGGCTAAAGTAGAGAAATGTGTCACATTCCTTCTCATAAAGGGTTAGGACAATGGAATAACTTTTTATAATGCCCAAAGTTAACAGTTCTTGGCAAGAAAATTCAAACTCAAATAATTCTGATAGAAAAAATTATCCAAAAAGTTTAAATCATAACAAAGACAGCTGAAGAAAAAAAAAGTAAAAAAATATAAACAACTACAAAGCAAGTAAACTAGTTGGGATACTAAAATTTAACAGGCTATTTAATATTATGAATGCACCTAATAACAACAAAAAGGAAAATAAAAATATTATAAGAAGTTAAACAAGAAACCAAAGAGGGTTTCGAACATAGATTGTAAAAATAATAACACCATATGCTCTAATTTAATGACAACTGGACTTGGTATGAAAAAAAAATCAACAGAAAAGAAAAAAAGAAAAAAGTCAACTCTTTGTCATATTCAGCCATTAATGCAAAGCAATTTTTATGCTCTTCAGTTCCAGAAGATCCAACTATGGTTAACCACTAATGCAATAAATGTAAGAATGTTATTACTAATTGTTCAATATACCCTGGAATCCTAAACCTATACTTAATGAATTGGTCTTGATAAATTATGCACAACCTAAAGGAATGTTATTTCTGTTGGAAAAGAAATTAAATTTGTTCCACTGATTCAATATTTAATTACAATCATCACTATAAATACATTTAGTAAGGTTGAATACCTATTTTTCACTATTTTAAAGCAATAGCAATTGTTAGGTTCAAAACACAACAATGGCAGATAGCATATTCAATCACAAAGATTGTATTTATAAAATAATTTATCATCGTACTGTTTTTTAAAAGTTTCAGCCAACTGCACATCAACCCTGCATATTTAAAGACTGGATAATCAAACCATTAGTGAAAATAATTAGCAAAGCAAATCAAGCAACAAAACGTAAACAAACAAGTAATCCAGAAGTAGAATCACTGTGCTATTTGGATAAGGAAGATTACTAGATCTCATTGATTTTGAAAACTGATTACTTTGAATGGTTCTAAACACTCCATTCTGAAAAGGGTTTCCTGGAATACTACTGGTTGGTTTAATATGCATAATGATATTTATTTTATTCAATATTTAAGTAATTTTGTTATCATGCTATTATAGGAAACATAGATGCAGTTTTCTCTTTACTCCGTTTATTGCAAAGCCTTCTAGAATTTCCAAAAAAAGGCATAACTCAGACTTAGCAATCTTTGTCTCAAGTGCTTTAAAGGCACAGACCACCATAGTAAGGACAATATGAATAGCACACTATTATAATCCAATTAAAATTAAAACATTTTGCTTTAATAATTATAAATATTTATTTTTCATCAGTTAAAACACAATCAAATTAAACAGAATTGGAATATATATACAATCTGCTTTTAAAATTCCCCAATATACATTTTATGATTCTGGGAGATGTAAATACCAGAACTGTCCCTAATAAGGCAGCATCGGTAGCCAAGTTCCCTTATTTATCTGCAACTGAATTGTATGACAGACAATTGAAAAATCAGAACATCAACTATGTAGGTTCTTGTTTAGCTTATGTTTATAATAAGTAATATTTTATCATTTTAAATGGTACAATGGTACATGATCATATTGGTAAAAATACATTTATTTGTCGGTGGGACACCAGCGTGTTAGATTACCGATTAACATTAATCGATTGGTCAAATTATTTAATGTCAGCTTCAAATTACAAAGTGATCCTCAAGCCATAATTTTAAGTTTGTTAACCAATGATAAAGATGTCCATGTGACCCCACATTATTCCCTGGATGATCTTCAGGAAGAGAATTTATATTGCAGGATTACTTGAGCAGAACATTTAAATAATTATTTTAATCAGAATATTAAATTCTACTCAAACTTTATCTTTTAGAACATCTATAATAAAAGATGGGAATTTTGAAAAAAAAATCTTTTAATATTCTGACAAATCTAATCAGTAACACCATAGTATCCAATGCATCAAATCAAAGAAATACTCAAATAAGTATTATTTCCAGTTGATTTGATGCAAACTGTCATAGCTAAGAAAAAATTAAATGTTATATAGAAAATGTAATTTACAACAGCCTCCCTTTAAGATATTATGAGTCAAAAATATATAAGATATTAATTTGTCAGAAGAAACAGAAGAGGGAAGATATTCCTAGTTATTATTAATAAATGCTTCTCTGTAAAAAGACTCCAAAATCTTTTGGAAATTAATATCCAGAGCTCTCCCTGCTCCTTCAGTCCCAGATTCTGTATATTATTCAACTTGTAAAAATGTTTTAAATCAATGTTTATGGAACAGGGACAGCCTGTCCCAAATATAATAAAAAAACATCAGATTAAATTTGCTTATCCTTCCACAGTGGGAACCAGAGTTAGAGGAGAGATGGTTGACCTAACATCAGAAATAAAATTTGGCAAGATTCTTGGCCAAGACAATATAATTATCAAGCTCCTTAAACAAAATCAGATTGGTGGGGTCTTTTATAAGTGGTTCTATTCACTGCAGTATAGGTAGTCCTTGACTTACTATCATAATTGAGCCCAAAATTTATATTGCTAAGTGAGACCGTTGTAAAGTGACATGTCCCATTTTATGACCTTTCTTGTTACAAATGTTAAGTAAATCACTGCAATTGTTAAGTTTGTAACAGTTGTTAAGTGACTCTGGCTTGCCCATTGACTTTGCTTGTCAAAAGGTCATAAAAGGTGATCACATGACCCTGGGACATTGCAACCATCATAAATATGAACCCATTGCCATGTCTGAATTTTGATCACATGATCTTGGGGATTCTGCAACGGTCACTTTTTTCAGTGAATTGTAAGTTGAGCACCATCTGTAGATAACTCTGGTTTGATCCCTTCAAGTTGGAATAGGGCTATAAGAGTCCCCCTATATAAGAAGACAGTTACAGAAAAGTCTGCCAATTATAGGTCAATCAGCTTCCCATCAGTCTTGGAAAACTTTATGGAAGACATTTAAATGAAAAAATAATTTCTTACCTTGAGGAATATTTTGTTTTAAAAAAATAATCAGGCTCCTTTTGTATCCAGCAAAAAATATCTATTTTCCTGAAAGGTAAACTTTTTTCTTTTTTCATTGATTTTTAATGCTGCTTTTGTTAATAGAATCAAACTGGGCCAAATTAGAGAATTACATATCTAATAAAGGCACTGTATTAAGATAGTATAATAATTAGATACAACAGAAAAGGTTAAAATGACATCACAATGAATAAGCAAATGAGACAAATTGCTTCCTGGCACCTACATCATAAACATGCAGCCCAAATCCTTTTTTTTTTTGTCATGAATGTCAAGAAAATTAAATAGTATATCCACCTTCTCCCATTTTGTCCATGTCTTCTTTTGCTTCTTGAGATAACCCTAAATATGAATGATTTGGTTATGTAACCTCAAAATATGTTTTTAAAACATGTTGATTTTACTGAATCACCTTGTAATTACTAAATTGTTCTTTTATTTGGTACATAAAATCAGATTGAATTGGCTCCAGGTTGGCTGAGTTTCATATAGAATAGTTGCAGAAAAAGTATTTATTATGCAATCATCCTGCCTCATTCACTGAAATTTTACCTAGATAATTGTTTCCCACCATTTCCTATGACATTATTTTGATAAGCATTGTTATGTGCAATGAATTATGATTATGGACATTCTTAAAATAATGTGAAGTTCTCTAATTTGGCTGCACTGCAATCCTTTTAATTGTGTCTCAGATATAAGATCAGGGACAAGCTGCCCCAAATTATCAGATTCAAAATAGACTTATTAAAAGTTAATAAAGTAACCTAAATTAAGATTAATTTAAATCAGTCACAATCTACACATTGCACTTTTTTTGAAAAAAAAAAAAAAAAAAGATCCCTGATGAATTAATGGGAGTTTTCATCTAGTGGGAATCCTGCTGCTTCTGGGAAGTCGATACACAACAAAAGATTTAGCATTAAACTTAGACTATCCTACATATCTGTGTGTGTGTGTGTGTGTGTGTTTTACATAATATGCAAACTATTATGTAGACAACACGCTACATCAATTCTGTTTAATCTGTTTGTCTTCCCAGTAATAAATCTTAGTGAATTCATTAGGAAAGCGTTTCAGCCTTAGCATATCTTTTGTTAAGTCATCCAAAACAAATACCAACAGTTTGCAGCCGATTCGGTGAATTGTTTCCATAGAAATACAACCTACCAGGATACTGGAGGCTGTGCCTAAATTTTATAGCTTTACAACAGTAAGGAATCTGCAAAGCAACGAACCAACCAACTGCTGCTGTCCAAAATGAAGCCCGTATTTTTGTTGTTAACGCGAGGCCAAGCACATTAAACGCATCTGCCTGCGTCTCTGTATGAGTGACTGTGAAAGAGGACTATTTAAAATACTGTTTGTACGGCTGCCGAACTACTTTTCCTGAGCAAGAAAATCCAATTCCCAAGATGCAATGCTTGGCGCTGGAGGCGTCTCCGGAAGGAGGTCGTGAAGGTAAGCGCGGCAGAGCAGAGGTAACGGAAAGTGTCCGAGGGACTTTAACTTCCTTGGGCTGTTTCCCCCCTCCTCCTCCTTTTCTAGACTTAACTGCACTCCCCTTTCCCCCAGTTCCGGAGATCCTCTTCATCGTCCGTTGAAATGTAGCCAAGTCTAATGTTGGGGCCCCGTGGGCCTTTCCTTCCCCAAGTCTGAGCCTGCAGGCAGAAGCCTTTGCCAGGCGTCCGTTTTCGAGATTCTTGCGGTGGGTGGAAAAAAGGAAAGGGGAAGCTTCTTAAAGTTACAGGGAGAATCCCGTATCGTTTCGTACAGGAAAAATGCAGATGTCTGGCAATTCAGTTCCTGAATTGGAGATGGGCTATAGACCCTCGTTTGACCTGGAAAAACTAAGGATCGAACTTGGCCATCCTGGGATGGGAAGCCACGAGGAAATCCCAAGGATGTAGGCTTGGAGGCAACTGCAATTCTCTCCCTTATTATAGCCAAGAACATTTGAAATTGAATTTTCTAATCCCAGTCTGATTCCCTGCCTGACAAATAAACTCACTAGAAGCCTGGTTAATATGAAATAAGGCCCCCTCATTTGTTTGAGGATTGAGCTCTTGTGAAGTGTGTTTTCAGACACAACATGCAAGGTTGCTGGGGAGGGAGCTGTGCGCCTTTGAATCTGTTAACAAGGATTTTGGAATTGATTTGTCACTCACCCAGAGTGAGTGATTGGCCCAAAGCCATCTGCTTGGCATCCATGGCTAAGACGGGATTTGAACTCAAGATTCCTTGCTCTTAGTCTAGCATAGGCATGTCAAACTCACAACGTCATGTGACATCACGTGATGTATCGTGACTTTTTCCCCATTGCCGGCAATAGAGTGGGCACGGTTTCGGCGTGATGCATCTGGTCCACGGGCCAGCAGTTTGACATGCCTGGTCTAGCACCTTAACCATTGGACCAAACTGGTTCTATTTACTAATGCTTAGGAAGCATTAGATTACACCAAGCAGATTCTGTAACACTTTGTATGCTACTGAATTTATTCCAATATTAAATGTGTTAAATTCTATTGAATTTATTATTGAGCTCAATAATACATCTGCTATTCTTGCAGAGCAGCATAAAGCATTTTGATGTTTGAATGTGCTGAGGAAGAAAAGTTTTCAATGTGAGTCACAGAGAAGTAGCAATAATGTTTTTATTACACCTGATTAAGCCATGTGAAATATGAAATCCTAGTGTGTTATTTCTGCATTAGTAATATACTGTATAGGTGGAACAGCCATTATGGCTGTGAGAGCTAACATCATAGAGCAAACAGTTGGCAAGAAAAGGGATTTATACTGTAGCAACCAACAATTAATCAAAAGCTGCAGTCCAAATTAAGCAGCCTGCACAAGAAAAGTAGTGGTAACTTAAAAATAGAATACAAACTGCAGGTGGTACTTTTCAACTCTGCTTTTGTTAGACTTTTGTTTACTACCCATTAACTAGAAAGCTTTATTACAAAAGAATCACTTTGAATTACTTTTCTTGTAGCCTCTTGTTTTGTTGAATCATTTAAAGGTCTATTTTCTATTGTCTTGAATTTGGTTACCCTATAAATGTGATATCAGATCAATAGAATGTGCATTGATCCATGTTTTCAGTCTGTATTACGTTTTTAATCAAACAGATTATGGAGGATAATGAAGGAAATCCAAAAAAGCAACTGATTTCTGAGCTTCACCAGCTTGCTGCTGATGGAAACAAAGCCAGACTTACAGCACTTCTGGATTATTCTCCTTCTCTTATCAATGAAACTGCTAGGAATGGTTGGACGGCCCTAATGTATGCAACTAGAAATGGTCACTTTGACCTTGTGAAGGTTCTTCTTGAGAAGGGGTAAGAAAAATAATAATGTTCAACTTGTCTAAAGTTATCACCTTGTTGAAAGTTAGTACTCTGTGAAGATGATTCTATTTGCTAGAGCAATACATTGATTTAAATTCACGGTTAAAATGAACAAAGCAAAAATTACATTAAATATAGTTAAAAGGAAAAAGGAAACATGTATATCTTGCCTTTTCACTGGAAATTCAAGGCAATGCACATGGGGTTTCATCTCATTTTATTAACTTATTGGCAATAGTGTGAAGTAAGCTGAGATAGTGACTAGTTCAAGATCATGACTGAGTGCTATGAATCTGGGTTTACATAGAATTGAGTCCTGGGAACGTGGAAGGTGTGATAAAGAAACCAAAACTAACTGCATCTTGATTGTGTTTGGTATAAAATGGAGCAGAAAGAAACTCTGACACACTTTCAAGATTTTGTTACTATACTTTATAACAATAAAATAAATTCCTGGAATTTTTATCATGTCTAATTGTCGATCTGGCTAACAACAAAGGGCTAACAACAGTTTTGAAAGGCTGTTACAGTTATTTTGAGCTATAGGTAGTCCTCGACTTACAACCACAATTGAGCCCCAAATGTTTGTTAAGCGAGACGTTTGTTGAGTGAGTTTTGCCCCATTTTACGACTGATTTTTCCACAGTTAAATGAATCACTGCAGTTGTTAAATTAGTAACACAGTTGTTAAGTGAATTCGGCTTCCCCATTGACTTTGCATGTCAGAAGGTCACAAAAGGTGATCACATGACCCCGGGACACTGCAGCTGTCATAAATATGAGTCAGTTGCCAAGCATCTGAATTGTGATCACATGACCATGGGGATGCTGCAATGGTCATAAGTGTGAAAAACGGTCATAAGTCACTTTTTTCAGTGCCGTTGTAACTTCGAACGGTCAGTAAATGAACTGTGGCAAGTCGAGGACTTCCTGTACTTTGTCATGCTTTTTCTTTCTAAGGGCTGAATTTTGTTTTTGCCTTCTTTAATGATCATCCATTCCTTTTCTCTACCTGTTGTATTATCGCTGCTCAAAAATATAACTTATTATTCCTTGTGTTCTGCAATGAAAACTTGTGATAGTTCAAAATCCTAACTGGGCCATGGTGTACTTTATTGTGTTCAGTTTTGATATTATGTTACCAGTGAGATTAGGATTATTTTTATGTTACCTGATATATGACATTCTGTCTGAAAATATTATCTAAAAGTAACTTTTTGAAATTTGTTGTTTTAAAGGTGTGACAGGTTCAGGACCAATACTTCAAACCAGACTGCATTGGATATTGCTAGATTTTGGGGCTATAAAAACATAGCTAATTTATTAGCTAATGTGGAAGATGGATTGGAGCCATTTTTCTTCACTTATCAAGTCAAACAACAGGAGCATTATTTTTGCAGGATATGTTTGGATAGGAAAAGTGAGAAGAGAGTAGATTCAAAGTGGCTGAGCATGAAACAGAAGGAACCCACAACCATATATATCATTTTTTCCCATTTAAATCCTTTAGTTACATCAGATGATGGTGAACGTAGTTTCCAGTATCCAAAGGTTAAGCTTTCTAAATTTTTCTATAAGGATATAAAGAGATATCTGGAACAGACTGAAACTGTCACTACAATTTTTCTGGGAGTGGAACCTCAAAGAATAAATGTGAAAGATTCGAATACAGACAAAAAAGATGAGAATGGCCTAATTACCTGGTTTGCACTTAGTATAGATTCTACAGCTACTGACAGTTTTTTACAAGAGCATCCAGGTTGTTATTTTCTTCATCCACCAATGCCTGCACTGCTACAATTCTCTGAAAATGAAGCTGGTAAGAAGGTCTTTTTGTAACATTCCTAATACAGGTTGGGTCACTTTGTAGGTATTTCACTTTACTTCGTGTAAAATTAGTTTAAAAATCCCTGCTTTGATTTGGGATTCAAGGGATTCTGATGCACATCCTTAGTTGTTTCTAGATGAACCATCTATAACAAGTTTTAGCTCATGTTATCTCTATGTGATTATTACACTCTACTGTAACAGATTGTCTTAATTTCTAATTAATTTGCAAGTCTACAAATTAGGCATTGATAATTTATTTACAGAACTTGTTTGTCTTTCTTGTCTCATTTTCTCTTTCATTAAATTTCCTTTATTTTTTTTTTATTAGAATTATGTTTTTGTTAATAGCTGAATGTCAGAGAATTGTTCTGATTACACTTCTGTTGATAACTTTTAACATGCTAACATTTAAGGACTAGGCTATTTCGATGTTCTAAAATATCACAAATGTAAAGGTAATGACAAAAAAATCTTTCCAACAATGTACAAACTGTTAATGCAAAAACTAAATTTTGCATTGGTTTTTATGATAAATTGGAAAGTTCATGTTGCTGTATATGCAGAAAAGAAACTGGGTATTGACCGAATGTTTTATATGACAATTTTTAGGAGTCATTGCCCAAGCCAGATCTGTGCTAGCATGGGATAACCGATATAAATTTTGCCCAACATGTGGCAGTGCAACTAAATTAGAAGACGGAGGCTACAGGAAATCGTGCATAAAAGAAGACTGCCCCAGCCATCAGGGAATTCATAATACATGCTTCCCAAGAGTTGGTAAGAGAATTGCTAGCATGTTGCTATTTTCTTTGCTAATGGCAGTAAGAAAAATCAGAGTAATATGTAGAAATATGAATTCTGACATGCCTCTGAACTCATGCATTAACCTAAAAATTAGAGCTGTATGTATGGCATAATAGAACTACAGGTTAATAATGGGAGAAAAATGGATAGTCGGCAGGTAGAAAAACCATGTCAAAGCATGGCTTTCAATGTTTTAAAACAATTCCATTATTATTTAGTCAATGATGAGAAGTAAACATATGTGCACAGTCAATGTAATTACAGGTAGCCTTCGACTTAATAACAGTTAATTTAGTGACTGTTTGAAATTACAACATCAATGAAAAAAGTGAATTAGGACCATTTTTCACACTTACGACCATTGCAGCATCCCCTTGGTCATGTGTTCAAAATTCAGAAGCTTGGCAACTGACTCATATTTATGACGGTTGCCGTGTCCCAGGTTCACGTGATCACTTTTTGCAACTTTCTGATGAGCAAAGTCAATGGGGAAGCTGGATTCAGTTAACGTGTGTTAATAACTTAACAACTGCAGTGATTCACTTAACAATTATGGCAAAAGAAGTCATAAAAGGAGGCAAAACTCACTTAACAAATGTCTCACTTAGCCACAGAAATTTTGGGCTCAATTGTGGTTGTAAGTTGAGGACTATCTGTATAGGTAAAACTTATATGAGGGTATGGCAGTGGCCTCATAATCAGACGTCCAGTTCAGTTATCCAGACAATCACCTCTAGTGTTGCTTCATGCAGATATAGGGAACTGGAGAACGCATGTTGTGGGCAGTCTTGCACAATATGTTTAATAGTTTGCATATCAGCACCACAGTCGCAACAAGGGGAATCTTTCCATCTCCACTGATATAGGGCAGAGGCACTTCTTCTGGTATCACATCTAATTTTGTTCGATTTTGTCTAGACAGAGTGAGGTAGAGGGGTCTGGTAAAGGATCACTAATAGTCAGGCCACAAAAAGGTACCTTGGACCATTTCTTTCTCCAGGCATTCTCGGGTTAAAATGGCTAGATGTTAAATGAATAACTATTTTCCATGCTGACCTACAGGATTTCAATCCTGTGATGGTCTATGCATTGTCCTGGCAAATTGGAAGGGCCTTGTTGTTCAGCATCCTTGAACATAGCGAAATGAGAGCTTGTTGTCTTCTAATGTGGGGCAGTATGATATTGCTAAGGAGTGGGATGCAATGTTCCAGTGCACAGGAGTAGGATGCAGTGTGACAGAGATGGTACATATTATCTGGTTGGACATCGACCATTTGGGTGTGGAAGCTGTTAAGCCACACGCTAGCTCAATATTCAGATGGGGAATAAACCAAAGCTAAGACTGTTGTTCATAGGGCGTTAGCATCAGCACCCCAGGATGTTCCAGTCAGTCTGTTCAGTAAATTGTTGTGGCTTTTCCATTTTTATAGATGTTTTCTCCAAGCGTTACCAGAAGATTAGTGATCTGTCCAGTGTTACCCCCAGGTATTTTGGAGAGTCATTACATTGTAAAATACAGTTCCAAAACTTCACTGAAGGCTGATAATTTGCGTACCTATTGCTGAAGTGGAATGTGGATACTTCTGTTTTTGTTAAGCTTGATTGGAAGTGTCAACAAACAGTTCTGGCTGATTTACAATATTGATCTTTAAATTTATTATTATTGTTATTATATAAATCATTTGCATCAGTGTTAGTTTGTATCCAAATTTTCACAAGTCCATGCATATAACATTTCCTTGGATATAACATTTCCTTGTGTTTTTCATATTTTCAGCATTGCCTTTGTACATTTTTTATAATTAATCTGGTGTCATACACCAATGATAAACCATTTTATATTTTTTTCTTAAATTATGACACATTGTAAATTTAATACCAGTTACCCACATTCTCTACCAAGTGTCCAATTCTGCATTATAACCAAAATTAATACCCATTTCTCTTCTAAAGAATGCTTCTTTTGCTCAGGTTAATAAATGTGTCTGTGGGCAAAACCTGAGTTTATATTTGTTTCATACCTTAAATATGGCACTTCTTACACAGTGATTTTTAAAAACCATATTAACTTTAACATACCAGAAAATGCCATGCCACTGAAACCTTCCAATTCTAAGATTCCTTTATTTTTCGAAAAACCCATTCTTTCATCCAAGTTAAATATGCTACAAAATATACAGTTTTTGTACATCTTCCATAAATATTTGCAAAGACAAAAATAAAGCAATAGACATCATTAAAATTAGATTCTTCCTTTTTATTAGTATTGTATGTGCATATGGATAAGCTAAGTTTGTTTACTGATATATCCTATAGTTAATAAATTGTACACTGATACTCATATGTCACTTCAACCCTCCTGCCATCACAAAAATACTCTTCAATATTTTCCTCTGCAGTTGAAAAACAGGACTGCTTTAATGCTTGCAAACATCTTGGGATTACAAAGTTGCCTCATGAGTCCTGGGTTATGGATGGACTAAATGTAAGATCAAGCATTCAGAGATCTAAAAGCGGACATTTTAAAAATGTGTTTATAGCCACATAATTATAGGAGTCATTTGAGAATACAAGGCACAGTGGGATCTGCAGATGGAGGGTAGAAGTCAAAAAAGGCAAGCTAAAGAGATACATATGTGTATGTAAGATGCATAAACACAAGAGATCAGCTTAAATTTCAGTACAGCTTCATTGTCAATTTTTATTCCTCCCCCCCACACTTTCTATGGATGCTAATGCAAAGCAGTACAGTACATCTGATTTACTATTCTGAGTAAACATTATACCACTATGTTCTCTCTAGAGATCTTGAATTCTCTCTCCTTTCCTCTTGTTTATAAAGTACAAGAGGTATAATGTTCAACAGATATAAGCAAGTTTAAAGTATTTAAATGATTATTCCACTATATACTCTATATTCTTACTTGTTTTTACCCTTATATATTTATTTGCAGTTAATTTTAAAAAGTACATTTATATCTTTATTTAGATCAGTTTTACATAGCTGCTTACTGTTAATTTCATATGTATTTCTGTTACCTTCTTTGCTTCCTTCTCAAGATGTAGATGTGTTCCTTATCTTTTTATTTTCCTTTTGGATCTTGGTTGATGCACATTCTTTATATTTCCTACAAGTTAGTTGAAAGTAGGAGTAAATATCTATTATATATTCAAATAACTAAAAAAGAAAAAATGTGATCAACATGAGATATGCAAGATTGCTGAGCCAACAGTTGGTAATTTCAGTAAAATTTCTTTTAACAAAACAAGGAGTCAGCAAAATTTGAAACTCCTGCTCAATACTTTATAGCATATAAATTTGCCATAGGCCATCAGTCTTTGAAGCATATTTACCTAATGGGATTGTCATATCTGTCATTTTGAGAGGATAAGATCAGAAGCCAACAAAAAGGAAAAAAATGAAAAGAGAATATTGAATATAAAAGTATGAAGGAACTGGGTTGTGTATCTATACTTTAAAAAAAATTATTAAAAATGCAAGTTCTGTGACAGTAACCATCATATCATACATCACATTTTTTTCACCATATATTTTGTCTGTCTTCTTTTACTACACTTGCAAATCCTACAGATAGGCAGAAGAAAGAGTGGACAAAAGGAATGGTTATGTAGGGATCACTGGTTGAAACCTCTTTCAATATCTTTTTTTAATTTTTTTGAAGGACATCTTTCTGAATGAAAATGTCAAAACCTGACAAAAGAGACAGGACTATGTAGCAAATTCAGGTATTAAATTGGTGGGAAAAGATAGAGGAAGAGAGAAAAAGTGGGGAGAATACAGAATAGGAAGAACTAAGTAGAAAAAAATTGTCATACAATGCAGAGCTGTTATATTTAGTATGTTTTAGAAAATAATATTCCTGGAAGGGCTACAGTAAAAGAGAGTGCAGCAGCTCTGATTTCAGTTGAGTGTTTCCATCCAGTTGTTCTTGGATTCTACCAAATATGCTGTGTTTCTATTTGTAGAAACAAGCAGGTTGTCACGTTTTTCCATGTTTTTCTTCTTTTTATTAACAGACCATTTACATGTTGCCTTTTTGCTTCAATAATTAATAATTAAAGACTGGTCTGATTAAAATTATAATTAAGGGAAAACTACTAACTACATTATACTAACTTAATCTTATTGTCCTTTAAACATTGCATTTGGAAATCAAAACATTATCACCAAGCCATTCATCTATAACTGGACGTTGCTGAAAGCAAAAAATCCTGCTGATTAAATTGCTGATGTCTATAACTGGGTCACTTATTCCAGTGTTTTTATCAAAATCATGCAGCATCTCAGGCAATTTACTTCCTGAGTCTGGCTTTCGGCCTAGCTAGGTACATTCCCAGAAGGCATCAATGTTAAAGAAAAAAACATGATTTTATTTTTTAAAAAAATTCTGCAGTACATTTGCCTAGCTACAGGGCTTCTTGTGAGAATTGGGTTTCAGGCATTGAAAGGAGATAGCAATACTAAGTAAGAATGGGTAGGCTTCTGCTTCTTGCTGCTTTTTTGTAAAAGGGATTTAAATATTTATGCTTCTCCTTAATTTCTGTTTCAGATCCTGTAGTGATAATGCAAGTCATTCATCCAGAAGGCAACCATTGCCTTTTGGGAAGAAAAAAAAGATTTCCCCCAGGCATGTTTACTTGCCTTGCTGGATTTGTAGAGCCTGGTAAGTTTTATTTGTATGTATAATGTCAGTTTTTAAACTTTTTTAACTTCTTTCTTTTGGGGGGGGCAGATGGGGGAGGAAACAACAGGGACACCTGATTGAATTGATTTCTAAATAGCAATTTCTTTGATAAAAGCATGTTACCATTTCTGCTCCTGAAGAATGACTAAAATTCCAGTCACATGTATATTAAGGATCTTTGCAATAGGTTTATATCCTACTTCCATTCAGGCACAGAGGCTCAGTGGCTTAAAAGACACTGGAAAAGATCTATACTTCAGCGGTTCAGGTCCTACCCCACGTGACGGAGTGAGCTCCCATCACTTGCCTCAGCACCTGCCAACCTAGCAGTTCAAAAGCATGTATATGCAAGTAGATAAATAGTTACCACTTTGATGGAAAGACAACTGCATTCGGTGTTTCACCATATGCTTTACACTCCGGCGTGATGTCATGCTGGTCAATGACTGTGGAAATGTCTTTGGACAGTACTGGCTCAATGACTGAAAGAAACAGAAATAGCCACCGCCCCTAAAGTCGGCTATGACTAGCAGAGTAAAACCACATGGAATCCTTCTTTATCTTCATTCAGGAACTCAAGGTAACATTCATAGTCTTCATTTCACAGAAGACTCTGAGGTACCTTGGCTAAGGAAGATGAGTGGCCACCAATTACCCATATGAGTGTCTGTGGTTGGACTAAAACATGGGTCACTCTCCAGTACTTCCTTCACTCTCTTATTAACACAGTGACACATACAGAAGCATAGAAGAACTCAAATATTCGAATGATTAAACATTATAAAAGCAAGATGAGAATTCAAGTTAGAAGAATACATGAAATGCAAGCAGTATAAATTACAATTAGAAAATAGGGAGCTAACGTTTGGGCATCAATTATATGAGCATGGTTGGGATCGCTAGTAATTTGAACAGGGACTGCTAAAGAATCTGAGTTTAGTCAATTTGTGAGCTGGAACAATGAGAACGTTCAGTTGCCTGCCTTAGCAAACTTGCCAGTCTTAGAAAAAATTCTTGGTTAGAGCTGAGCTGTGTTTTCCAAAGAAAACAAGTCAATTGCTTGAAGCAGCGGTAGAGTTTATTTGACAACAAGACAGAGTCATACCAATTGAAAGTGGCCATAAATTGTAATTTGAAAGCAGGTTTTTTTTTAATATAGGAAAGTCTATTGTGCCTAGCAAGCATGCAAATTCAGCCTGTCTTCTAGGGATTATTAGAGAGCTCACCAGGTCTGTAGGGAGGAAATGCTGTTTGCCGCTCTGCAGGGTTTTATAATCACTAGCTTTTGTGAGTCAAAGTGGTGACTTTGAGATGAAGGTTTGGAGTGAAACATTGAAATGAGGACATTTCATGTCTAGAGAGGATTTTCTTCATTTTAAGTAGGTTGCTGATATTTGCCGAGTTCCTAGTTTTGTCAGTTTCAGCCTAGGGATCAGAAACAAAGGGAAGGTTTAAGCAGTCTTTTGTTTTATTGTCTGGAGTTCGGTTGGGAGGTCAAGAAGGAATGGAGGACAAAGAGTGACATGGAAGGCAAAGGATAACATAGGACTTTGGTCTTCCTACCTGAACGATAATGAAGCAGCAGTTGGTAAGAGGAAAAGAAAGAAATTGACCCAACAGATTGAAGTAAAGGAGGAATTTAGAGGAGGATCCATTTTGCTGAATTGTCTTAAAATTGCTTAGGGAATTAGAATTAGAAGCTACACAAAGAGAATTTAAACTCAGTTGTTTCAACTGGATTATTGTTTTAAACATGTTGTAAGAACTAATTAAATAGCTTGTGTGGCGTGTCTGTCTAGATATCTAGAAAAAAATCTGGAAAAGTGACCCTGAAGCAGAACAACATTGTTCTAAAAAAGGAATTTAGGTACAAAATTTATAGCAGACTAACAGATTGTAACAGGGATTTCCCACTGTTCAAGATTAAAATAAGCAAGAGAGTATCTTTTTACTCATTTAAGGAGAAATAGAAAAAAAAATGGAGGGCGAAGGGGTTCTCCATGATATATAGCAAGGAGAAAAATCCACCCGGAGAATAGCTGATAGATTTGAAGATACCTATGGTCTATGGTAATCAATTCAGGTAAATTGACTAAGGAACTTGTCCATCACTATGTCATTCCCTCTTGCATATTGAAACCTCAAATTTTAAGGTAGACACTCTATTTGAGAAACCCTGCAAAAATGTTTTTAAGCTCATATTTTATTACATTATTCAAGTTCAGTCCCTGAATAACTTCACAGCAGCTTTCTTGGCAGTTTTTCTCTTTTCTCTTATATTCCCTGCAGAGGAATAAATAAGAAATATTTCTCGGTATTGATAGTATCTGGTTCTAATTAGGAAGCAAGATTTGGATCTCTTGGGATAATACAGGAACAGTGTGGCAGAAGTTTTGTCATATGCAGATTCAAATAAAAATGAATAAAATTGGTTTGCAGGGAAGGTAATTAACATTCTTTCATGCAGAAAGCACAAAAACAGAAATCATGTTTAATTGCGCCTTGAATAGATTCATCAGAGGAGTCAAGATAGCATCCTGCTCACTGAATAGGACTTGAGGATAGGTAAGACAGCAAAGCAATTTGTAAATATATGACTCTTTTATGACTAGCAGCTTTATAAGCTTTATTTATTTATTTATTCATTTGGGCAGTTGAGAGTTGCAGAACATGGGCCAGTAATAACTTTTAGTGCAGTGTTTATTTTAATTTAGCAATTTTAATATATATGGACTTCAACTTCCAAAATTCTGCCAAGTTTGAGAAATACTGCTTTAGTAAATTGGACTGGAATTTCAGGGAGGATTATTATTATTATTATTTTGGAAATCCGGTATTCATTGGGAGAAAAGTCCTTCCAAATACTCCAATATTCCTATTTCAGAGCTTTAATGGTGAAAAATGTCAGTAAATAATTTTAGCTATTGTTGTCATAATATATGGTGATATTTCTAAGGTACGATGAATTTCAGAAATGATGCTGATCTTGATTTGATATGACTTTTATTGTCACTTTGTTTTGCTCTTGAAATTAATGCACAGAATGCACAGAATAGAAGTTCTGCTGAACTGTTTCTAAATTTGTTGCAGTTTGGTAGTAATACAACCCATAATATTTTATTTGTTCTGGGTTTAAATCTGAAACATTTGGTGAACATATAACAGTAATTTTTGCAGGGCAAGGAGGACTCCTCAATTTTCCAGCCATCTCTCCCTGGACATCCCATCCTTAGTCTTCCCAACACCTTTCCTAATGTTCTCCCTCACTTCTTCTCATTCTCTATTAATACACTGGCCTCTGTGCTGCTCCCTTACTGATAGCAGTAAGGAACATGCCCTAAAGCAGTACCTTTATCCTTCCCACTTCCCCTCAATTGCTGCTGTTCATGCAATGTATTGTACTGCTCCTATCTTCTCAGTGCTTTCTCTTCCCTGCTTCAACATCCCTATGTGGCATGGCCAGGGAAGCCTCTTTACCATGCCCTTTTTTTCTCCTCTTATTTTGCCCCTGCCTCAACCTTGTACCACTGTGCTTCAATCCATTTTTGGAACAAAACAGCCCTGTTTCAATCCAAATGCAGACCAGACTAGCTGATTACAAATGGGGGTGGGTAGGTTAGGGGGCAGGTGGACCATTCAGAACTGGATCATGCATAGAGCTTTTTGCATGATCCCCAAAATATTTATTATTTGGTTGAAATGCACAGATGCCTAGAAAAGACATATAAGGCATATATGGTGCTATTTGGGTCCATCGAGAGATGATTATGAAATAATCTATCTACTGCTCTTTAGGGTCATGAGGGTTCTCAGCAATAAGTATTGGTTTGACAGTTACTGGACCAAGATTATTAGTTATGGTGGGAAATGTGTAGGAAACACCAACCTCTAAAATAATCCTGTGATCACTAGATTGTTTTTCCTATATATATATCCTATATATCAGTATGCAGCCTCCAGAATCCTCTCCATATAATGTTATTAAGCTTCATAGCACGCTGTCAGAATTCAAATGCAAAATGCCATTTTAAGTATTCTACTACTGTTGTTTTTTATTTGCGTGTTTTGATTTTTTTAAAACAATTCCCTGCCCTACTTCAGCTATGTCAGTTTTTGTCTGTACAATATGTCTATCATTTAATAGGATAGTTTGGTTCTCAGCATGAAAAAAATTGTTCAGTTGTGCTATAAAAGTGCCATTAATGAAGGTCCATGTGTATCTAAAAGCATTTCATTAGTTTGAACTTAATAGATGCACTGAGCTAAAAATGAAAGAAATATTAAAATATTTGCATAATTACAGTCTATAGCTGTTATTCTCAAAGCAGTTTGTGAGTCCTCCTTTCTTTATTTGAACTGGAGCTGTCAACATGCTTTGAAATGCAAAGATCCCAAGCATCAACTCTTGAAAAATTATGTTCAGATAATTAAAAATGAGGTTTGAAATCTATAAAGCCAAACAAGTAATTGAAATCTCATTGCAGTCTTTAATTAAGATTAGCATAAAAATCTATTACAATTTTCATTAATACAATTTTTGCACATCTTTTTCCAAGATAAGTCTGTTCTTTAGAAATTTAAATTATTAAAACGTATTCCAAATGTTAAGATGCTGCAAGACATTTGTTGTTGTAAGTATTCCCTCCCCTTCGTAGGCACATCCTGTTACCCTGTGTGGATTCAGTTTCTTTATCTTGCTGGATATCCGTGTACAATAAAACTGGGAGAAAAAGTATAGAAATGATTTAATTAGACTTGAAAATACGCTCATTGGTAAAAGCAATCTTTTGAAATTATTTGCTTACATTGCTTTGACCTTTTTTGCTTTTTGTGAATGAATTTTTCTATTGGAAATAGTTTATGCTCTGATGGTTGAATAGCCACAAGAAATTGCTCAAGAAAGTTTCATATCTTTTGGAAATACTTTAAAGCACAAGATACAATTTTTTCTTTGTCAATTAACTGTTCCATTTTTTTGTTGATTAGGGGAGACAATTGAAAATGCCGTTCGAAGGGAAGTAGAAGAGGAAAGTGGAGTTAAAGTGGGCCGTGTTGAGTATGTCTCTTGTCAGCCATGGCCAATGCCCTCCTCCCTAATGATTGGATGCATAGCAGCTGCAGTGTCTACAGAAATTAAAGTTGACAACATTGAAATAGAAGATGCCCGCTGGTTCAGTAGAGAACAGGTAAAGTTCAATTTAATTTCCTTTTCTTATTGATTGTCTTCAGAATGCATTGGTTAGGGCATACAATATGGATGTGCTTTTTCACTCAGACAAATTAAACTTCTTACTCTCCTTATTGTACAGTGATTACACTGAAATTGAAAATTATATGTTGGTCAAAGAATTGATACAAGCAATTGTTTCTCTGTTGCGCCCATAGATCTTGCCAGTAAGTTGTGTAGGTACATTTCATTGAAGACTATTAGAAATACATTGTTTTCACTCCAAGCGTAATGATCTTCCTGATTCAGTTTCACAATATTGTCTCCTTGGAGATATCAAATAAATTAGGTGACCATTTTTATTAGAACAAGATCTAGTTCCATAAAATATTTCAGGCTATTGGTGTTTAGGTAAACACTGTTAAAACAATTATTTCATAAAGTGATTTGCTTCCCATTCATATTTTCTTCATTACCAACTTTGATGACCTGGCAGAATGATCAGTTACATTCTCTGGTTTAAATGGATGCTTTCTACATGTTCATTTTAAGAGTGAAGAATTATTAGCAAATATCCATTGTTTGTTCGTTGAAACTTAGCTTAGCTTGTTGAAACATATTTTGAATCTAATACATTGAAACATTGATGTTTCAAAAAAAAAAAGGACCAATGCTTTTAATCTATGGCTTTCCCTTCACCAGATTTAGAAATAGAAAAGGGAGTAGATCATTCCAGAAATAGTAAACACTACCTATATAGGAAGTAATGGACAGATATGAGATTTGCCCAATGTCTTCTATAAAAAAAACAGTTGGGTATTAATCTTAACTACTGTCTTTCAATTAGGGTGAGCTTCCTGTTCTGATTTTTTTTTTTTTTTTTTGCATTTCAGATAATAGAGATTCTCAACAAAAAGAACCAAAATATTTTTGTGCCACCACATCAAGCCATCGCTCATCAGTTGATAAAACACTGGATTGGAATGAATGCTAATCTTTAAATTCAGCAAGCTATATATTTGCATTGCATCATATCTGTATCTTCTAAGATAAAATTAAACTTAATGTAACTATAATAGTAATTTTAAAATTCTAATTCCTTCGTTCTACACCCTCCTGTAATTACTCCCTGTAATATTTATGCTTACAGTTCTTTTAACAAATTTTGCATTGTCAAATGTTGCCTAATTTCTTGATAAATAGGCTCATAAAAGCTTATTTTACTAGGAAATAAGTTGGGTGTTCTCTTAGCAAGCACTGTATATATAGTACCTATGACAGCCTGATTCAACCCACTGACCTCGAAAGGTTTTGTTTTTTATGTAATTAAATTTTTAAATGAGAAATGTCCAAAAATCTCATAAGATAAGCCAAATCTTATGAAATCTCTACATTGATAGCCAAGCTCATATCATTATTATTATTATTTGGAGGAGTCATAAAATTGCAAAAGAGTGATACACTTGAAATGATTTATGTTGCCTTGTATTGAATATTAAGTAGTATTTTATCATTAGTTCATTAAACATAGCAAAATCATCAATATAGTATCAGTATAATATTCTTACCAATGTACTATGCAATTCTTAAAACGAAATTGTAAAATTTCTATTAAAAGAATAGACATTGCATTACCAATGCAAACTAAAATCTCATTCCTGTAAGAAGCTTGCTGTGTGTTTTGCACAGCATTACCATTAGCATTGCTAAGTCATAAAGTTATAATTTGGTATTTCTGGATATATTTGCATTAAGCAGGCTCAAAAGTTGCTTCAACATAACCAGATTAAGAATTGTTCTAAATGTGTCATCAATATTACATTAATATTATTAAGTGTTTAAATTGAGAGAAGTTTGGAATTAACAAGCTGACTTTTGGCTGTTTTTGTCCCTTGGAGCTCTTTAATAAAGTCTTTCTAAATCCTTCAGCTGTGTGACATCTATTAAAAAGATTTTGCCTCCGTAGAGAGTTCACTAACAAAGTTGTTCCCTGCATTTTCTTCACTCAATACCTCTAGTCCAATTATATCAAATTGAAGTTAAATGTATTTCAGACTAACACTGAAACAAGAAAAGTGCAGGAAGTAGAACAAATGGCACAATCCAAGTTTTAACCAGCTATGAACCTGGTTTCCTTTTTGTACTGCAAGATGAAAGACGCTCCCTGTGGAACTCAGGAGAAAAAATGGGAATGTGGCTTAACCATGACTGCTGCAGGACTGAGTAACAGAGATGTGGTCTTTTTGAGAAATTGGAGAATATAGCCTGCAGATATTTCTATTTCTGTTTCGTTTTTTATTGCCAATCTGGGACTTTCCTACCTTTCCCATGGGAGAGCTGAGCTGTCTTTTTGTTTCAAGTAATCTGGGTACAGTTCCAATCAAATGACCTCCAGTATTAAGCTGAACGGGCCCAACCATTTCCAGACAGTCGATTTAAAACCCCGTAACTGTCATATATTTTCTCCATACCCATAAAAAGTAGTTACAATCCCTTCCAATTTAGTTAGGCTGCTTTACAATTTAATTCCATTCCTTCAGTTATTATGGTTAAAGACTGTAACCTTATTGCACAACATTTGTACTCCATCGTATTGCATGTATTCTTTCTAAAATGCTGATATGCCATTCTTTTTTCAAACTTGGTGGGACATCCAGCCTAGGATTGAGAAAGTAAGAACAAAACACGTCCCAGTTGCCACTCTTTCAACATTTATTCTTTCTTTTAAAACAATGTCTGTATTTTGAGCCACGGTCCTTTAATTAGTTGCACTGTCATGGTCACAATATCACAGGAGCAATATTTGGTAGAGAAAATTTATACATGATTATTGCAGAGGAAGCCTCATTAAGTTCAGTGAAACTTGTTCCTGGCCTTAAGTTGTTTTTCTTCTGTTATACCAAGGCAGGAATGTCTATTAGGCAGTTAAAAAAATCAAGATGGCAGAAGGCACAATCTGCCAGGGCTAAATCACACCAGCTGTAGACCATATCTAGACTTTTTTGACCCACCATGGATGGATCAAAATGGATAAACTCCATGGATGTCCCACTATAATAGGCAAAAAAAACTACATGGTAGCAGTCAAGTATGAATTGGCTGCTGCTTAATATTCAGTCTGTTTAAATGTTTCTGAAAAATTACTTTGATTAATTTTCAAACATACTAAAAGAAAAAAAATGTTCTAAATCTGTTCTAAATCTGTTTATACACGTGAGGGAAAAAGAAAGTAGGTATTTGTAGGCTGATTAAAGATAGGCCATTCTTAATAATCTCTGGAATTAAATACCTTAATCCGATTCTGAGTTTAAGGAACAAGAATAGATATACAGTATAAAGAAATAGAGCAAGCCAATCAGGCTTAAGATTTGACTAGTCTTTCCTATGAATGTAAACTCTTCCTTTCAGAAAAATAGGAAGCTGATACAATTTGCATAGGTGAGTTGCTTGCCCATTGCTTCTGGGGGTGGGATATAATTTAGACCAATAATAAAAATATATACACCTTTATTCTTTCATCAATCAAAAAACTGTGTGGCTACCTGTATGTGTTTATATTAGTGTTTTGAAATGATAATACAGAAAAGAAAATAAATGAAAAAAGAAAATGAGATAGGTGAGGATTTTGAACTGTGTTTTATATTCTTTATGATACCACAGATGATTATTTTGTTCTTTCCAGTGTGGGAATATACAGCTATAGTGTATATTCCAAATGAAATTGATTTGAATGCTCAGCCTTTATAAATACTTACACAAATCTATTCATTTTCTGTTATTAACAAAATGCCAGCTACATTTGCTATAATAAAATTTTACAAGATTTGTTCAAATAAAATAATATTCTATATTTTCCCCTCTCAAAATAGGCTAGTTTCTTTATCTTAGCATTACTTGGAGCCATATGATTCTAAAGTTGAAGGATTGAATTCTGAATTCAAAGTTCTATGCTAAAGATCAAGCGAAGATAAGAGTTATTTAAAGTGTGTGTGTTTGTGTGTGTGTGTGTGTGTGAAAGAACAGGAACAACTAAGTATATTTCTCCAGTCGGCTGCATTTTTTTTTTGAGGGAGAAACTTTTACATTAATGGAATTCCTCTTAAAATATATTATAATGGCTTTACTTCTATTTCCAAAATGTATTTACTCTGAAGTTGGTAATTCATTTTAAATGTTTAAGGTTATATCAGAGTCCCTTTGATTTCATTCCTTTATGAATATACATTAGTATAAAGTATTAATATTAGAAGAGGTAGCGGCAAAAATTTGAATTATATTTTCTCAGAGAATCTACATTTACAAATTCTTCAGACTTTAAGTGAACTACAATCATTTAAGAATATACAATTTTACCTTCAAAAATATTTTCTTCTACTTCTCTTATACTTCCCTTGATGACAATTTATAATACTAGGATGTTTAGCTTATTCTAAGAGGTTCTATATCCATAATTTATTGTTAAATGGAAAAAATAAATTGAAAACATTCTGATTAATGTTTAAGTTGGAAAGAATGCTTATTGTCTAAAGTGATGGTGATGAATGATGATACCATTTTTGGATTGGATTCTGTGAATGGTGGAAAACACTTTCTGCCAATTTATCAAACTCTTTGAAATCCCCACTGCCAACTGTCATTATGTCCTGGAAGAGCCTTTAAGCATCCAAAAACTATTTTTGTGACCATTGACTGCTACAGAACCAGAACAAAGCTGAGTGTATTTTTTTTGAACGAAGCTACACATAAAAATCAGTATTAAAAAGCGTATCAATGGTTACAAGTCACATAAATGAGAGCAACAAAAAGTGGATGTAATAAAAATAATAGAGATTGGTAAAATTATATGTAGTTTCCAAGCTCAATATGATTCCCTCTTCATTCTGGAATAGCAAGAAATCTTTGACTATTAAGCCATGAGTGAGTTTATATTGTATAATGAAGGAAAAATACTTTACTAGCTTCATTTGTCCTGCTTAGCAAGATCTCTGCATCACAACCCAATGAACATGATATCAATAGATATATCAAAAGGCTATGGATTTATAGTGATATAATTTATAGCCAGTTATAGGCTTCTCTTCCTTGAATGACCTTTTACTAAACTGAACATAAGTCACAGCTCATCAGCCTATTTAATTTTCTATTGTCCTTCAATGAGGTTTTTTGTTTTATTGTTAAGCAATGTCAGTTAAACAGGTTACACTATATTATTTCATTTTCATCTGACCATGATAATGTAGGCATTTTTCTTAGTGTACATTAACAGCTCAATTTAAAAAAAAAATCTCTAAAAAGTAATATTGAAAAGATAAAATCAGAAAATGGACCTTGTGTCTGCTTTTGCTTTACTTTTTCATACATCCACGTGTTCCCTCAATTTAATATACTTTGAAGCTATAAAAATGCAGTGATAAATTCCACCAACTGATTTTTTATTAAAGATCTTTTGCATCTATAAGATTCACATTTTTAACCTTCTTTGGCATGTTATATAGCCCATTTAAAAAGTTATTCCCAATGAAATAAAGTAAAAAAGACATTTGGGAAAAGAGGTTAAGAATTAGTGTGGCTCTTCAGTGTCTAAGAATGATGAATTATGGTGTTATTTATATGGTGCTTTCTGTCGTCAATTTAAGTTGGACCTTTTAAGATAACTGTTCATTCAGGACATATATATATATAGCCATATGCTGTAAAACTGGTATTAAGATTTGTGGTGGTGAATGGGGAACAAGCAAACTATTTTTTCATTATCTGACAGTTTAAAGTGTTCCATTTTTAAAAATAGAGATTTTCTAAGTATCATGTCAACACATGCAACAGAGCTAAAAACTTCCTGTCAACACCTTTAAAAAAAGATATTTTGTCTGTTCATTGCTGCAATAGACACACACACACACACACACACAAATATTTTCTCTTGCAATACTATTAATTACCTTCTTTGCTATCTCAGATTTTAAAATTGCACTGCCAGCAGATGACTCTAATAATCTTCCCAAACAATAGCCAGATTTGCAGTTGGCAAGCTCCTAAGCTTTGTATGATCTTAATCAGTAATTTTAAACACTATGTTCAATACTATACAAACAGAAAAGTTCAAAAAATACAGTAAGAGCCCTGCTGGATCAAGATTAGAAAAAAAGTAGGTTATTCATCTGAGAGTAGCTATTCATAAGCTCTCAAGGCCAGAGATGCCTGATCTATGAGCACTGCTGTCTAAAAATATCCTGAACAAAAGAGTGAAGCACTCTGATTTATTTCCTCAGGATTTAGCAGCTTCAGCTCAAATCCTGACTTGTGCCGCTAAACAACTTCCCAATGACAATGTTAGGAATTTAGACTTTTCCATTATAAAGGTCAGATATGTTCCAGCATGGACATCTTGGTATAAAGTCCCAACTTACAATACAGGTCACTGATACTCATTTTAAGGAAAAATTATACCTTACACCATTTTGACATTCAAAATGTAGTCTGTATTTATGGAACGTGGTAGCAAGATAATTAGACACAGAGAGTCTATTACCAGTATATTGTTCTTTGTACTTCATCCATATGTTCATTAATTCTCCATGTTCTCCCTCTACCAATACTTATATAATTCCTACAATTATACAGAAATGTGATTTCATATTTTATTACATTTTAAAATATGAATTCAATAGATTATAATCAAAATATCTAACTTTATTGGGAAAGAAGCATAGAGGAATTTATATGTCAATAAATAAAGTTGACTTTTTCCTGATCCAAATTAATGCAACATAACATTCCCAGCTTGGTGATCTCCTAAGATTTCAAGTTAGTTGTAAATTATGCTTACTGGCAATGCTGACTGTTGTAGTCCAATATATCAGGGATTTCCTGCTTTTCCAAGTAAAGGCTGATAAAAAATATATTGGAATAAACTTAGGCAAACAATC